TTTAACTTTATTAAAAAAACAAAACAAAGCAAAACTTTCAGGGCTTTGCATAAAATTTCTCTCGTTTGCCTTTGTGAAACCACAGCCTGGCATCTGCAAACATTGATCTCACTACGCTGGGTTACCTGAGATTTTCTTAATTTGCAGTATGGCATGTTTCTTTTTTATAGCTTGTGAGTCAGCCAAAACAGAGGGTTTCCTGTTTGATAGTCATACAATGACTGACTACCTTGAAGTTGAAGTTGAAGGCTTGAATAAGCGATTCGATGAATTAACTTCATGCACCTGGGTCAAATTTAAATATCCTTCTTTGTTTTCTGAGATTGTTGTCTGCGCTCTTGGCTATCAGTTTTGCTTTGGCCGACGATCTGACAAGCTTTACATGGAAATGGGAGGTGCATATAGGTAATGAAAAATTTTTGTTGTGGTCTTAACTATGAATAATGCTGTTATTTGAAGGTCAAGTCATTTGCATGTATTTTTGTGAGTTTACATGTGATTTGTCATTTGTTACACTTTGTCATAGACGTCTGTTGAGTTCTCGTCGACAACATGTTCAGATATTGGACAGATTATGGTCATGCATACACATGAGAACCTAATGTCCCCCTCCCTTTAGTACTCAAAGAATGCTGTACAGGCTGCATTTCATGTTTAACTTAGGAACATTTCTACACTGAACGTTGATAATATAAACAGTTCAAGACTAACAACTACGTCGGACCCTTTATGCATGAGGAGATCGTTCAGGCAGCCTACGAGGATCAAACCATAGGCTAGGGGGTGTCTTTGGAGAAGAACTTTAAGCGCACGTCTAAGCGGTTGTCTCTGAAAATTCTTCCTAGTAGTCTAGTATGTATGGGGAGAACAAAGATATAGATCCATACCTTAGGTGCTTGGAATGCTTGAAACAGGTTTAAGAAAATGGAGAAAATGCAACAATCACCTCTGTCAAGAAAGAGGAGGCAGTCGCGCATGAGTTGTTTCAGCGATAAGCCTTTAAATTGGAAAAAAAAAATTAGTTGTTTTAATAATTTGGTAGCTTACGGTAGGAAATGTTCACTTATGAAAGTTGGTCGCACATGGTGACTCGCTCGTGTGTTGCACACTGACAAGTGTATTTGTACCCACTAGAACAGGATGAAATATTAGAAGGTACTGCCAGTACAGTTCTGTGGCATGTTTTGTCAATCAATCTACGGATGTAAACGGTGGGTTTCGTTTTAGGCTAAGGCGAAGAATGAGAAGACTTCGAAAGAGCTAACATCTAGAAGTTGCAAAGTAACTGACTCAAATAATAAACCAAGTTTATTATATCAACGCCAAAGAAATATCTCGTAAAACATGACATCTTCACATGTGAAAATAACCTGTTATCTTCACACGTGAAAAGGTCACCGTGGCTATGACTACATAATAAATCACACCTTTCACAGCAAAAACTATTAACTGAAATGGTTTGGTATTTCATTAGTGTTTATGCAATAAACAGAACATTATGTGGCAGTTTGGAGATACGAAATTTCTCTTCTCGTACTGAAAAAAAATATTTCACTCGTTCACTGCGCTTACTTGAGAAATATTTTTGTAACTTTCGAAGGGAAATTTTTTATCACCTAGCGACCATGTAAATATCCTCTATGTAGCTCGCATTACCAACTTTTAGTTTTGAATGTTTTAATAGCACTTTCAATGGTTTCGTACGTTTTAACGAGTGGACCAACTACTGCGTAACAATGGATATAGACGGATGGGAGGTGTACGTAAATGGAACACGCAAGAAGTCTTTTCTTGATCAAGGTGACTTGCGTTTCTTTGATTCTAAGAACTTTAACATAGTGACATATAATGATAATGTCTAACGAGGATGATGATGATGATGATGATGATGATGATGATGATGATGATGATGATGATGATGATGATGATGATGATGATGATGATGTTGATGATGATGATGATGATGATGATGATGATGATGTTGATGATGATGATGATGATGATGATGATGATGATGATGATGATGATGATGATGATGATGTTGATGATGATGATGATGATGATGATGATGATGATGATGATGATGATGATGATGATGTTGATGATGATGATGATGATGATGATGATGATGATGATGATGATGATGATGATGATGATGATGATGATGATGATGATGATGATGTTGATGATGATGATGATGATGATGATGATGATGATGATAATGATCATGTTAATTTTGAAGAATGAGGCCGTTTTAGGGCCTGTTTACGTGGAGTTGGGGGACCCCAGATAGCTGAGGTAACATGTGGCTGGTCACCCCACCAATCATGTAAAGGTGATCAAATTAAAAATCAAGATTATATGGACAGGCGGGTTACCCCACCTAAGCGGGTTACCTCACCTACCTGGGGTTCCCCACCTCATTGTAAACCGGTCCTCAGATCATCACACTCAAGTGAATTCAAATGCCTTTACGCCCAATCAATGATATTATTGCACGAAGATCCACCCATGCAGATTCTCCAACAAAGAGTGTTACTTGGCATTCTCCCATTCCATCACCCTTAAAGTGAAGTTATATTTACCTTGTGGTTGGGCGAAAGTCTCGAGGATTAAGGAGCCTAGAAAGCTGCTATTGTTTATATTCAAGATCGAGGTTTTAATACTTTTGCAGTTAATATGAATAAACTATTTAGTTAACAAAACAAAATGGACCATTTCTTTTGGCAAGAAATCCGCACTTTTGTCCTTTAGATTTTGATTTTAATATTTGATTTCCAGTCCCAAACGTTAGTGGTACTTTAGAGGAATAGGTCCTTGGATGGAGTAAGACTCTGTAGGACTCGGCAAGAACATAAAAATAACCCCGGGCTTCTCGATCCTAAGAAATAAGCACTAAACAACTGACCATCACACCCCAACCATCAGCCATATGGATGATAGGTAAAAGGGGAGTATTGGTTTTGTAAATGTATCCAGAGATTTCTGACCAGAAGCTGTTGTCTACCGGAATTCTAGAAATTGTGAGCTGAATTTGGATCATGGGATATTGTAGAGCATGATTTAAGTTATCAAGTCTGTTTCTTTGAGTTTGTCGGGTACATTTTAACAACCTTCGGAGAATCGTTACATTCATTTGGCAACGAAGATGATTTAATACGTGAAAAAATTATAATCGAGAATAACAAGATGCCAGTACTGAACTGGAACAGCTGAGGAAAAACAATTGACTCAACCGCGTATCATCGTCCAGTACGGACTTTAAGATCGGTCAATACGGTCGTCTGGGATGGTTGGATATTGTCACGTCACGCAAAACACGCGTGACCTTTTACCGTCGTTCTTCTGGGACGGTATGTTTTCGCCGGGTTTCTCATCGTAATAGCCCGCGAACGGTAGACTTTTCTCCTCGCTTATCGCCGCTGAGGGACGTTTCACGAGGAGGAACGTCTGCGCCTCAGCGACAGAAATTCCATACTGATGACGCAAAATCTGTGCGGAATCCGGTCAGAAGCGCCAATTGGTCGAAGGAGTAGTTTCATAGTTTTAGCTATTGTTTACCAATGACAGACAAAAGACAAAAAGCCACAAAGGTCAAATGTAAACGCGATGAATCTCTAACAAAACCGTCAATATTTGTGGAGTATAGTCTTCTCTAGAAGCAACATTTGAGTTTTGCTGGAGCTCATTCGCAGATGAACACAACACTTTTCCAAAATCGTTATTAATGTTTAACCAACAATTTGTTGTTGTTGTTGTTGTCTTTTTTATTCTACCTCAAAATCTGCTGCAGTCACTTTTTCAAGCAGTCAGATATCGTAAAAAAATCACGCTTCTGTCTCTTCGATATTGTGCGTTGAGTCCTAAAATTGCAGTACACCGATTTAAGTGATATAGCCAATGTTGTGAGATCTGTCATCATTGTGACTAACTAGTCTGCATTTAAACTTATGAAACCTTCTTTTGGTCGGTCACTTTTTGAGCGCTAAGGTGTCCCCTGAATGGATGTTGAACCCGGGTTTTAGGGCCCAGAAATAGTGTCCCTTTCGCCAGAAGGTAACAATTAAAATTTTTAAAGGACCACATTTTGTGACCCCTGACATAATTTCCTTGAATAGGGGTTCCTTTGTATCGCTATAACTCTTGCTTCCAGCTGTAGTTGCTTCAAGAACCTAAAAGATTACTCTGATATAAAATTCTCAAATTAATTAACCCTTCTTTTTACATAGGAGTGTCTGTCATCTTCAAGGAAGGCAAAATGGTATATGGGCAGAAATACGCGGACAGTTACGGAAGCAGTTTTAATCCGCAAAGAAGCTTCGTCGGCGAAATGGCGGGCATCAATTTCTGGGATCGTAAGCTGAGTGATGCAGAGATATCAGAAATGTCCAAATCATGCAAGTCCGGGAAGGGCAACATTTTTAGCATGGTTGATTTAAAGGTCATGGGGGGAGTAAAGAAAATCCCTGCCTCTTGTTAAACTGGCCACCATTTTGGATTATTACGAAGCCCTTGGGTCAGCTGTAGGGAAGCTGGAGCGATTATTTTGGGTCTTTGTATCAATCGTCAATCAGCCGTTTTACTATTCTTATTTACTTCTTTGAAGTTGGCTGCTGAAATTTCTAGGGGAGTACCGAAATTATTAGTTATAATAAGTGAACAAACTGACACAAACCCTGAATCACTGAGGCCAACAAACAGCCAACACGAGACATTTACGAAAGTTTCAGCTGTTTGCCGGTATAACCCATAAAGTAACAGAGTAAATGGCATTAACCTTTACTTTAAAAAATAAAAAGCAAAACCGAAGGTGAAGAATTGACTAAAAAAGGCAATTATTGAATGCCGAATAATGCCTTTATCATTATTATTAATTTTTTTGTTTGATTGGAGTGGCCCTTTTGAATAACTGAAGACAAAACAGGCTCCTATTAAACACAGTTGACCCAGGCTAAGTGATAATGCCAAAGTGAGAATCCTAATATGTATAATTACAGTGTAAGGGCAGTCTGGTGTAAGGGGTATTGTTATGATCCTAAAACTTGTGGGAAATATTAAATAAAAGTCAATGGAACTTACTCTGCAGTTAGTTTTTGTTGTCCTTAATGCTCACAACGGATTCTCGTGAAATCTGCTTAAATTCTTGCTTCATTCCGAACGGAGCGAGGTCATTTATAATCTCCTAGCGCGCAAAGCGCGTGCACCGCGCGTAACTCCCAAAAGAATTGCAAGGCGGATCACGTAACAGCTCTCCTAACCCTAAAAGCCAATTGATCCAATACCCTAACCGTGAAACAATAGGAAATAATGGTAAATAAGGATGTGGTATTGTTTTCTGCGACCAATGATGAATTAAACACCTTACGAGCAGCTCCTAAATTTACTGCAATCCGCATGATTGGGCAAACTTCAGGAGAATATACGCAATAAAGTAAACACCGATACTAAATCAGCCAGAGAATTTTATTATGAAAATAAGTTTGAAGTTTTGAATGTATGAAAATCATATGCGTGAACTACGGAGTGAAGAATTATAAAATGAAGGATGATCATCACAGTTACACACGCAACTTTTGCAGTTGCGAAAAGAAAACCTGAAAAAAAAAATTCAGGCTTGTACGGGATTCGCACCCTTGACCTCTGCAGGACCGGTGCAGCGCTCTACCAATTAAGCTAACAAGCCAAAACAAGTCTAAATTGAGATACTATCCAATACCGAATGGCAACATCGCCAGTGTTTATTATTTGTTGTTGTTTTCTTTTCTTTTCTTTTCTATTTTTCTTTTTATTTTTGCTTGTTTGTTTTGTCTTGATTTCTCTTTTGGTTCAGTATATCTCTAGCGTACCTTTATATACATGTAATATTGCACATGAGTCCTAGGCTCTACAAAACTTCTGGATGGTGGTAAGCTACTATTGGAAGGTTTTCAAAATCATTTCTACATCGTTCTCAGGAAAAGTAGAGAACATGGGAAAGTTTGAGAATAATATACGCGACATTGGGCAATGTAGGGTTGTCATCATCATCATCATTATCATTATTATGATCATTACACTAATGTTGTAATGAGATCGGGAGCTCCGCTTTTAGGCTTGGCTAAATATATAGATTACATGTAATATTGGCCTATACATTAGTCACAGGTTCTACAAAAATTCTCTATGTAAAGCTCAGTGTCATTTCTTCAGTCGTTTTATTTAAAAGTAGGTGGTGGTCAACTACAAAGCTTTCGGTAATTTGACCACCACCTGACACACATTTTAAAACCCGTACTGTGGTTATTTTATTTTTTTAATCATCTATTGTAACTGTATTTTTCTTTCTATGTTATTCTCTATAAATAGTGGGAAATAAATAAACCATGAACCATTGAGTTATGGATGTACACACAGGGACGTTGCTAAACACAAAAGAAGTAGAGTCCCCAAAAGGGTTCTTTAATCCCGTAATCCCGACCCAAATTTCCGCGCAATCCCGTAACCCGGGTGGTTATTTTTAACATCCCACCTTCCGTGCAAACTTGCAATCCCAAATCTCGCCCCCATTTTGCTTTTAGATCCGGTATCCCGGATCCCGAAAAACCTATTGAAGACCCACAAGAGAATGCTACCGAGCTTTTTGAGTGCTTAGCAATGTATCCTTCCAAGTGCGTTCATAACTCAAAAGTAAACGCACTGAGCCATGTGCCCGTTTGCTCTGTAACATAATAAAAACAGAAAACACATATATTTGCTCTCAGGTAACTGGTAGATGGTGGTAGGGGTGTCTATATCAGGATCCGCTTAATTGTTAAAACACACTGTTTCAATGTTTCAGAATGTGTTCATGTTGTAACACACAATTTGCGATGATTCATCTCTCAAAATCTTAGTTAGTCTAGTGTCAAAGAGAGCGGTTTAATTAGTCAATAATTTTCAGAAATCTTTTATTATTGTTCTATCAGCAAAATTTGTGTGTGGTATTGTACTTTCGTTTCTTTTGATCGCAAAATATTTGAATTTTAAATCAACATGTACTATAAATACCATTTTCTTAGTAAAAACTAAGTATTTTGCACAGTAAGCGATACGCTGTTACTAATAACAGAGTTCTTATGAAGCTATCTTTACTTTGTTCAATCAACTTAAGCTTAGAGTAAAATATAAAAAAGAAGCTGCGTTAAAATATTGCTATATTCAAACACAAAAGTTAAGATGTGAAACAGGAGAAACCAATATTATAAACGAGTGGATTCTGAGCCTGCGCGTGGATCATGGCGGACGTGCCTTCAACGATGTCCCACTAACTCATCCCTTACCACGCTTTCCCCGGCATTAGATTTCCCCCGTTCACTCTAAAATGTGAGATCTTACTTATCACGTAAATGTCCTCAAAGAAGGGGAAAAAAAACAAACGTGGAGAACGTGGATCCACTGAAGAAGACACTCGAGCTGGGAAAAAAGCCAACATGGCGGCAAGCGGCATGGACACAGGTATCGAAGAAGCTATTCAAATGTTATCAGAAGAAAGCCAAGAGGAACCAAGTCTTCTTGAGATAAAGAACATTCTTATCGATATTCAGATACAGCTATCCACTATTCTAAAGGAAAACATAGAGTTGCGAAATGAGTTTGAAGAACTGAAATGCTCTGTGAACTCCAACAGAAAGGATCTTAACAGCCTAACAGAATCAGCAAATTTCAATGGAAAAGAAATCGAAAACTTAAAGGGATCTCTTAAGAAGGCCACGGATGCGAATAAAGAACTGAAGAATACTATTTCATCGATGAACAACCGACTGAAAACAATGTATCAAGACCTAGAGAATCAGCGCGAGGAAACCGAGCGCCTATCGGAAGAGCTTGACAACTTAGAGCAATACTCGCGGAAAAATTCCGTGGAAATCCATGGAATACCACAAGATGCCTACACAAACACGGAACAAGTTGTTATTAAGCTAGCCGAAGCCCTCAACATTACAGTAGAACCCGAGGATATAGAAATATCACATAAAATTAACAAGGGCAAAGCAATCATCGCTAAATTCGTAAATCACAAAGCAAAGGCGAGGCTGTACAAAGAGCGAACAAAACTAAAGGGTGTGAGGTTGCATGATCTGTTTCCAGGATACCCTTCTTCTGGTAACCGTAGAATATACTTAAACGAGAACCTAACGCCATATAGAAGAGAGCTGGTTGAAGAAGCTAACAAACGCAAACACGATGGAACTCTTGTCAGTGTGTGGACCTTGGACGGAAAAGTTTATGTCAAGACCTCGCCGTCGGGGTCTCCGATCAGGATTAATTTTCTAAGCGATTTAAACGATTTGTAAGGTTGCATACTTTCCACATTACCAACTTATAACTATAACCGGATGCAAAGTGTGGTAATTTTACGAGCGGAGTTATCTGCTTCAAAGGTGAGCTTAAGCTGGCTAGTGTTTTGGTTAACGTGTGTCCCTGTATTATTTTTATTTTATTTATTTTATTTCTTCTTCTTCTTGTTGTACTTAGATTTTTCGAGTGTTTTTCTATTCTAATTTTTCTCTTACTGGGTTTATTTATTAATCTTATCTATGCACAATCAGTATCCTTTACTTGCTTTCAAAGTATGTCTACATTCACGCCTTTCGTTTGTTCAATCACACCTTCGGCTCTTTTGTTTTTCAGCTATGCAGTCCCACAATTTGCATACAGTAACACAAAAGTTAGTTGTTTGATGCTTTTAAACTAATATCGCTTAATGTGAAGGGCTTAAGTAATTTCCGCAAAAGAAGAACCATCTTTCTCTGGTGTCGTAAACGTAAGGCAGACCTGGTTTTTTTGCAAGAGACGCACTCGATCGCTGCAACAGAGAATCAATGGAGAAATGAATGGGGTGCTGAGATAATATCTTGCCATGGTAGTTCAAATGCGCGAGGTGTTGCGATTTTGTTTAAAAATGGTATTGATTGCAGCATTAATCATAAAATTGTAGACCCCGAGGGGCGATACATTATTTTAAAAGCTTGCATCCAAGATAAAGTCTATGTGCTGATTAATGTTTATGCGCCGAACAAAGATAAAGACCAAGTGAATTTTTTCAACAAGCTACTTTCAATTTTGCAAAATGAAAATCTGGATTCTGTTGACAACATTATACTAGGAGGAGATCTAAATTGCCCACTCGATCCATTACTCGACAAAAAAAGGCGGAGCAAGTATAAAAAGGAAATCAGTTATCTCTTGTGTCGACGATTTCAAGAGTAAATTAGATTTAGTAGATATTTGGAGATCCAAAAATCCTGACGCAAAAAAGCTTTACATGGAGTCAGAAATCTCCCCAGTGTTCTGTCGTCTCGATTACTGGTTGATATCTAACAATCTGAGCGATTTTGTTGAATTGACTGAAATAATCCCAGCTGTACGAACAGATCACGATGCAATTTCTTTAGAACTCGGAAAGTTAGAGAACGAATTGAAAGGGCCAGGAAACTGGAAAATGAACTGCTCACTGTTAGATGATGAAGAGTACGAAGAAGATATGGCCAGGATGATTCCACTTTGGACAGCAGAAGGACAGAAAGAATTCACAGATAATCGAATGATATGGGATTGGGTTAAATATAACATAAGAGCTCATGCTATTCAATACTCTAAAAGAAAGGCAAAAGAAAGGGTGAAAAAGGAGCTTGACCTTCAGGAAGAATTAAGTAAAGCAAAGGGTAAACTTGAAAATAATCCAAACGACCATAACACAACCCATTATAACGTAGTTCGGGAGAAGTTGGAGTCGTTTTACGAAGAAAAAACCAAAGGCGTAATAATACGAGCACGGGCTAGATGGCATGAACATGGAGAGAAAAGCACAAAATATTTCTTAAACTTAGAAAAAAGGAACCACGTTAAAAAGCATATAAGAAAACTGTGCATAAATGGTAAAACTACAACGGATCCGCACTATATACTAAAAGAACAAGAGCGTTTTTACAGGGAATTGTACAAAAGTAGCATTAATAGTCCTAATACAGGAGAGAAAATA